CATCGTGAATATTTGTATATATTCATGTGTATACAACGACTTTTCAATCTTCATACATCAATATGATATTCATCATATATATATATATATATATAGTGTTATTAAACCTAAATTAAATTATAATTAAAAGACTGAATTAAGAAAATTACACCAAAATACAAGAATTTTAAAAACGATTAAATTGATACTGATATCGATATATTTTTAAAAAATTTATAATATTTTCAAATTTATATTTTATTCAAAAATAAAAACATTATCATTTTCTCAAAACCACATAAAACTGTATTATATCGACATAAAAAAGAATAAAACAAAATCATGAAATCAAGATGTGTCTCGATGCATTGCACGAGTACCCTTCTAATATATATATATATATATATATAGGGTTGGGTTCACGTGAGACCACCCTGTTTTCGTGAGACCCGTGAGACCACATTTTTACACGTAAACTTCACAGCAAAAACACTGTGAAGGTTGAAAAAAAGTCGAACATTCACAACAAAAACACTGTGAAGGTTAAAAAAGTCACTTTCATAGCATTTTGCTGTAAAGTTTCAAGTGTAAAAAGTTGGTCTCACGAAAACAGGCTGGTCTCACATGATCCCAAGTCTATATATATATATATATATAGGTGAGTTCATTTGTTAACTCAATATATGGTGTTAACTTTGTAATCTATGGATAAAATTTATCATGGCATTTTTTGTAACAAATTAAGGGATGCTTAATATACATAAGTGAACAATCATGAACAAAGGGTAATTTTAGGAAAAAGTAGGGAGATTTCTTTTAGCATTAATTACTTTTCTGGTAATTACTCAATTGTTTTGAAACCGACATCAAGCTTTAATTATTCCTTCATTTATTAATATGTAACGTGTAACTTAATGGTGTGAATTAATGAACAATTGTTATATATGAGTAGCCTATGAACATTTTCATTAGTGGATACATACCTGAATATGTACGTATGTGTGATCGATGAACAGTGAGTGTTCACCAATGAACAAGTTGTCAATGTGAATAATGTTCATTATTAAACATTGAGTGCACGCTTATACATGTTGACTACTACTATGTTCATGTTGATCATCCATATTATAGGATCCACTAGACACAATGAACTTATTCGATTAAGAATGTTGACTGTTGAAGGTGTTATTCATTATTTCTCAAAATACATTTATTTATGAACAATCACAAACAAGATAACTTACAACACATTAATAGTTTCAAAATGGCTAAATTCAAGGAGTAATATAACTCCAATTTAAATGTATTAAAGTAATACAAACCATAATATTACTATTTTGTCCTCAATTATTAATTACAAAGGAATCTATGAACTATGAGACTATATTGATTCCTATTGGTCTAGAGAGTTTGTAGAGTTAACACAAATGAATTGATTAACAAAAGATCTTACTTATATATATATATATATATATATATATATATATATATATATAGG